AAAAAAAAAGTTCATGGAAAAATGAAATTAAAAGGTAATACAAGTCAAGAATTCACATCCCCATGCCAGCCAGCTGCCCAAAATAATAATTAATAATAATAATAATAATAATACAAATCTTTCCATGAACTCTTGGAAGACACCTCATATAAATCCAGCAAGTTCACCTTTAAAATTCAGTCCCTTTATATCAAACTAAATGCTTCTGCACAGCAAAGAAAACAATCACAAAGTGAAGAGACAACCTGCAGAATGAGAGAAAATATTTGCAAACTATGCATCTAACAAGGGATTAATATCCCAAATATACAAGGAACTCAAACAACTCAAAAGCAAGAAAACAAATAATTGGATGAAACAAATGAGCAAAAGAGCTGAATTGACATTTCTCAAAAGAAGACATACAGGGCCGGCCCGTGGCTCACTCGGGAGAGTGCGGTGCTGATAACACCAAGGCCCCGGGTTCGGATCCCACATAGGGATGGCCGGTTCGCTCACTGGCTGAGCGTGGTGCTGACAACACCAAGTCAAGGGTTAAGATCCCCTTACCGGTCATCTTTTTAAAAAAAAAGAAGACATACAAATGGCCAACAGGTATATGAAAAAAAGCTCAATTAATCATCAGGGAAATGCAGATAAAAACCACAATGAAATATCACCTCACTCCAGTTAGAATGGCTATTATCAAAACGATGAAAAATAACAAATGATGGTGAGGATGTAGAGAAAGGGGAACTCTTATATACTGTCAATGGGAATGTAAATTAGTATAACAATTATGGAAAACAGTTTGGAGATTCCTCAAAAACTACAAATAGAACTACCATGTGGTCCAGCAGTCCCACTACTGAGTATATATCCAAATGAAAGGAAATCGATATATCGAAGAGATATTTTCACTCCCATGTTTATTGCAGCACTATTCACGACAGCCAAGACACGGAATCAACCCAAGTGTCCATCAACAGAAGAATGGATAATGAAAATGTGATCTACATACACACAATGGAATACTATTCGGCTATAAAAAAGAATGAAATTCTGTCCTTCAGAGCAACATAGCTGAGCTTGGAGGACATTATGTTAAGTAAAGTAAGCCAGGAACAGAAAGAGACACACTGCATGTTCTCACTCATATGTGGAAGCTAAGAAAGTTGATCACATAGAAGTTGAGAGTAGAGTGGCTGTTACCAGAGGCTGGAAAGGGTGGGGGTGGGGGGTCGGGGCAGGGATATAGTGAGAGGTTGGTTAATGGAAACAAAAGTACAGCTAAGTAGGAGGAGCATTATCTAGTGTTCTATAGCACTGTAGGGTGACTATAATTAACAACAATTTATTGCATACTTTCAATTAGCTAGAAGAGAGAATTTTGAATGTTGCCAACAGAAATAAATGATAAATGTTTGAGGTAGTTAAAAAAAATAATCAGTGGTTGCCAGGATTTCAGGGGATGAGGCAGGGAGGGAGGGATGAACAGGAGGAGCACAGAGGATTTTTAGGGCAGCAAAACTATTCTGTACGATTCTGTAATGGTTAATACGTGACATGCATTAGGCAAAACCCATAGAACTGCACAATACAAAGAGGGAACCCTAATATAGAATTAAGTTAATAATACTATATCAATATTGATTCATAATTGTAACAAATGTACCACACTAATGTAACATGTCAGTAACAGGAGAAACTAACTGTATATGTGAGTAGGGGAAGGGTATGGGAATTATCGGTATTTTCTGCTCAATTTCTCTGTAAAACTAAAATTGCTGTAAAAATAAAGAAAAAAAATAAAGTAAAATTCAGTACTTATGGAGGGGAAAGCAGTGATATGTGCAAACATTCAACTACTTGGATATCCATCCCTGTGCTGTTTATTATTAGTGAAAACTTGGACACAACCCAAGTTTTAGTCCAGCAGTCCCTAAATGCTTAGATATGTTACAGTACCGGTGCACGATGGAGCATTTTATAATCATGTTCTACTGTCCTGTATGAGACACACTTGAGTCAAGGTGCTGGCTACCTGCTGTGTGAAGAGCGCCTCCTGATCCTTCAGCACTTGGTACTGCTGTATGAGCCGCTCGTCATCTCTCTCTCTCTTCCTCTCCTCTCCAAAGGACAAATACCTGCTGTGTGAAGAGCGCCTCCTGATCCTTCAGCACTTGGTACTGCTGTATGAGCCGCTTGTCATCTCTCTCTCTCTTCCTCTCCTCTCCAAAGGACAAAGGGCAATTGCGTTGTGCTCGTTGCAAACAGACATAGCACATTTCCTACAATCCCAAATTTCAGGACAAATTAATTTCTGCCTTTTACTTCTTTGTCTTCACATTCCCTTCACAAGCTCTCCAAAGTCTAGGTATATCAATAAACATACTTTATAAAAGGATATATTAGTGACAATTAGCAAAAGGAGATTTGCAGAGTGGACCCCACAACAATCAAAAGGATTTACTGAACTTTCACCTAATCAGAAGTGTTTATAGCAAATGAAAATCAGAAAGGGATTTCCTGATCCTATTTCTGGTAACTAGTAGATCTTGACTAGTAAGGAGATTTATCACTGACCAGTTTTGACCATTGAGTACTTGTTTCATAGCCATATATTATAATTAAGAAAGAGAGATTCCCAGAACTCTCTTGAGAAACAGAAGTGCAAAGGAAGGCTCTGACTGGGCTTTGTTTGTTTGAAGATGCTGTACCTGTCCTGCCTTATTATGACCCAGGCAAGCAAGGGCTGGAGATGTTCTGGGCTTCATTTCATTGTCATTTTTCAGACAACCTGGGGATGATAATCTATAAAAACAATGCAACATTAATTAATGTTTAATACAGTCTGACCTCTAGAGCAATGATCATTTTAGAAGCAAGTATAATGTAATTAAAAATACATCTCAATGGTTTTCCTCACAACAGCTCTATTTAAAAAGGTTAAGAACCTGTATTTGGTATCAGATAAAGCTGGGTTTGAATCCCAGCTTTGTTGCTTACAAGCTGACTGAAATTAGGCAAGATGTATAATCTGGCAAAGTCTTAGTTACCAATTCTATAAAATGGAAGAAAATTTACTCATTCCAAAAAAGTGTACTGAGTGCTTACCATGTGCACTGTATTAGGCATGGAAGATACAGTGAAGAACAAAACACACACACAAAATCCCTGTCCTCGTGAACTTAACATTCTGATGGGGACAGACAATTGACAACAAGACAAACAAGTGAGCTCCACAGTATGTTCCAGGATGGTTAGATGCCATGCAGTGCTGCAGGAATGGAGTATTAAATCCTGCATAGAATGGCCAGGGAAGTTTTGATCAAGAAAGTGACATTTGAGTAAATACCTGGAAGAAGTGAGGGAGCAACAGAGTGCTGCAGGAATGGAGTATTAAATCCTGCATAGAATGGCCAGGGAAGTTTTGATCAAGAAGGTGACATTTGAGTAAATACCTGGAAGAAGTGAGGGAGCAACAGTGTAGATATCTGACGGAAAGGACGATCCAGGCAAGCAAACAAGCAAAGCCCATGAGGCGGGAGCACGTCTGTGTTCAGTGAGGCTCGAGGGGAATGAGTTAGGGGTGACAAGGAGGAGATAGGTCAGTGACCAGGCAGGATCTTGAAGGTAAAAGCCAAAGTCTTTTACCCTGAGAGAGATTGGGAAGTCACTGGAGGGTTTTGGGCAGTGGATGAGATCATCTAACTTACACTTTAAAAGGATTACTTTGGCTGCAGTGTTGAGAGTAAACTGAATAGGGACAATGGCAGGAACAGAGTGAACAATTAGGAGACGAATCCAATAACTCAAGAGAAAGAGATAGTGGCTTGGACCAGGGTGGTAGCAGTAGTGGTAATAAGAAGTGGCTGGATTCTGGATATATGTTGAAGGTGAAGTTGACAGAATTTACTGACTGGATACAAGTGCTTTTGCATTCTCTCTATACCACTGGCATGGAGTATACTTCCAACCACAATCCCGTGATGAAGTGTAGGAAACACAGTCCATTCTCTTGACTTCACACAGGCTCCAGCCCCTTGTCAGAGACCAAGAACTGAACCTCAACAGGTGTGCATATGGTTTCCAGCATTGCCCAGGTGACCCAGGGCAAGAGCTTTAAATATCAACATGAAGTAGGCTTTCTCATCCTTGGTGCTGCCTACAGAGGTGGCAGCCATCTCTTACTCAGCATCTTACTCAGTGGCTGCACTCAGACCCCTTGAGAAGCTCAAGATTCTCAAAAAGAGGACCAAGAAGATCATCCTGCACCAGTCAGACCTAATACGTCAAAATTAACCATAACTGGCAAAAACCCAGAGGTACTGACAGCAGAGTGCAAAGAAGATTCAAGGGGCAGATCTTGATGCCCTACACTGGTTATGGAAGCAACAAAAAAACAAAGCATATGCTGCCCAGTGGCTTCTGGAGGTTACTGGCTCATGATGTCAAGGAGCAGGAAGAGCTGCAGATGTGCAACAAATCTTACTGTGCTGAGATTGCTCACAGTGTTTCCTCCAAGAACTGCAAAGCAACGTGGAAAGAGCAGCCCAGCTAGCCGCCGTAGTCACCAATCCCAACGCCAGGGTGCACAACAAAGAAAATGAACAAACAGCTTGTGTGCACATTTTATTTGTGTTAAAATAAGCCATAAAAACACTAAAAAATACACACACAAGAGTGTACTTCAAAACCTTTGTGGTAAAAAGAGAATTAAAAGATAATACAGACTTCCAGCCAAGATGGTGGAATAGACAGTCCCCAGCATCTCTCTTTCCCACAGGTCAACCAATTTACAACTATTAAAAAGCAACAACAGCCAAGTTGGGCTACTAGAGCTCAGGGGAAGAGGAGGACAGACCTATGGACTGCATGAAGGCAAGAGAAGCCCATGATGAGAGAAAGAAAGAAATGCTCCAACTATTTCAAATCCTGGCCGTTTCCAGGCTGAGTGCACAGAGCAGGAGCTGGTAAAAGCCACAGGTGTGCCCTTCAAATGATGTTGCTTGGAGGCAGCTGGGGAGAAGAGGATCTTCTCCTCTTGGTGGCCTGGGGGCCACCAAGACCACTAATACAGTTCTCATGGACCCACATTGGAGCAAGGAGCCACAACAACTGAAAAAAAGGAGCCACTCAGAGGCTGATGAATCACTGCAAGGGAATGGTGCATGGCCCATCCCATGGGAAGTGTTTGGAGCATGGACAGTGGGGGAGACAGGCCCACCAGGGGAACACTAGGGCACAGCAAGGACAGCTGATCTGCCCCCCAATCAGTGTAGGAGCACTCAGAAGAGACTGGTCAGGAATATAGAATTGCATGAGAATAATGCAGTTCGATGAAAAGACTCAGGCCCAGACCAGAGTTTCTACACAACCCAGGTGCACTGGATCTCACTAGACCCAGAAGTACCTATAAAGTCAACCATTAAAACCTGGGCTGCACAAAAAGCCTTCCCTAGGGAATCAGCAGCAAAGCAGCAATTTAACTCAACCACAGGGCTCAATTACTGGTCCCCACAGGAAGTTGCCCCATTTTAGAAGTAAGCAAAGGACAACAAATTAGTTCCAGCACAGAGTTTAAGTGGTAGAAACAGCAAATAATACAACACAGAACTGAAAGAAAAAACAAAGTACCCACAACTGGAGACAAAGTTTGATATTAACTCATTTCACCAAAGAACACCTATAACAGCTAGAAGGACCAGAATTCCCCTGGGCTACCAAGCCAGAAAGTGGGGAGGGCCGGGGGCCTCAGCCATGCCCCCCAACACCTGCAGCCAGTCCCAAAGGTGGGGGCCAAGGGCCTTGGCCACACATACCCTGACACCCGCAACCAGCCCATCAACAAGCACCAAACTGCAGCAAGAAGGGCCCTGGGTTCTTAAGCTCTGGTGGTGGCGGTTGAGGGCTTTTGCCACACACCCCTGACATCTGCACCCAGCCCGGCAATGACCAAGCCACTGCTGGAAGCCCCCTAGTCTCCCCTGTGGGAATGAGGGGGGTGCCACAGGCCTCAGTCCCACCCCTGCTCCTTCCTCCTTCTCCCATCCCATTTCCTTCCCCTTTCCCCTCTCCCCCGCCCTCTCAATTGCTCCACAACAACATCATAGGATATAAAAAGATAATAATATTAATAAAAACTTAATTGGTTGATTGATTTTTTTAAAAGATAATACAAATCTTTCCATGAACTTTTTGAAGTATCCTTGTACAAAGAAGGCTTTGTAGCTGTATAACCTGGATGTGATGAAAATCACATAACAGACAGAAACAAAAGTAGGAAAAACTTCAACACAGATAAACTCTCAAAGCAAAATTGCCAAGCATTTAAAGTACTCCAGAGCCAAGAGAGTACTCTGTTAGCAGACCTAACAAATGAAGTAATTCACACTCAAAGAAATAAAGATGATAAAGCAATGGGAGGAGAATTTTAAACAAGTACATCAAATTTTTCAGAGATAAAGAAGGAACTGGCAAGAGCAGGCAAATAAGAAAGAGAACCTAATATGTAGTAATAAAATATATGATGTATAAAAAATAAAATGTATCATATATACTTTTTGAAACAATAAGAGGAATAAATAGTGGACTGGATCCACCTAACATTAGTCTTAATTCATTTGAAAACAGAACTGAGAATACCACCTAAAAAGCAACACAGAGATAAAAGAAAGAAAATATTTTTTAAAAGTTGAGAAATAGAGAAAAGATTCAGAAGCTCAAATATACATTTAATAGGAGTGCAGAATGATAGAATAAAGGACAATATTCTAAGAGATAATGGATAAGAATTTTCTGGAAAGTTCTGACTCCTAAGAGTGGTAAATGTGCAGAACATCAAGAAAGAATGACAACCAGAGTGACTCAGACTTCTCACCAGGACAACTGCCAGAAGAAAACGGAGTGATATCATTAAAGTGCTGAGGGGAAATCACCACGAACCAAGAATCAGCATTCAAAAGTGACAACACAAGAATCTCTTAAAGCAACACAAAGACTAAGCATGTTGAAAAGACAGAGAACCTTGCCAAAAGAACCATTATGGGAGACACTTTAGTAAGAAGAAAAATGAACCCAAGAGGAAGGGCAGGGATATGAGAAACAATGGTGAGCAAAGAAATTCATAAAATGTGTAGGCAAATCTAAATAATCATTAATCATAAAATAATACAAATATTTTTATATAAGTAAAAGTATATTGAAACAAAAATTCTATATAATATAAATGCAGAAGGTATGGAAAGGTGGAGTTTGAAGGAAATTCAAAGCATGTTAAGGAAATGTGATCCATAAAAAGAAAACAGAAAAAGGGGAGTAATAAGGTTAGATGCACAGTAATCAGAAAATACAAAATAAGATGGAAAAGATAGGTCCAAATATACCAGTAATGGGCCGGCCTGTGGCTCACTCGGGAGAGTGCGGTGCTGGTAACACCAAGGCCACGGGTTCGGATCCCATATAGGGATGGCCGGTTCGCTCACTGGCTGAGCGTGGTGCTGACAACACCAAGCCAAGGGTTAAGATCCCCTTACCGGTCATCTTAAAAAAGAAAAAAACAAAACAAAACAAATATACCAGTAATTACAATTGAAAAGCAAAGTCTAGATTGAACTTAAAAACATCTAAATATAAATTGTTTACAAGAGACACACATAAAACAATAAAATACACACAGAAAGATGAAAAAGAATGGCATAAAAAGTATATTCCAGGTAAATACTAACCAAATGTTGCATTGCTAATCAGACAGAACATCATTTAAGGCAAAAGCTGGTAGTACAGACAAAAAAGATTTTTTAATGATGAAA